AGGGAGGAGGAGGAGAGAGAGAGGAGGAGGAGAAAGGGAGAGAAAAAGGGAGGGGGAGAGAGAGAGGGAGAAGGGAAGGGGGGAAGGGTGAGAGAGCGAGAGGGAAAGAGGAAAGGAAAGAGGAAAGGAGTGTGAGAGAGGAGAGAGGGGTAGGGAAAGAAAGAGGAGGATCGGGCGTAAGGGGCGGGTGGGGAGTTCTGTCAGTCACGAGAAGGAAAGCTATTATCAAAAGGGATAAAGAGAAGAAGGGAAATCCGAGAGGAGGGGCAAGAGAACTAGTCGCAGCCGGCATAAGGTGAGAGGAGGGGACAGAGAAGGGGGGGGAGGGGGGGGAAAGGGAAAATGTCGTTTACCTATGCTATGGCAGTTCAAAGAGCGATGATGGAAGGAGAAAGGGGGGAGAGGGGAGGAGGGGGATGAGTAGTGGGGGGGGGGGGGGGGGGGGGGGGGAAGGATGCAAGTCAGAATCCCATGACTCAGCGACTTCGGGCATCAGGCTCACCCAATCGAAGGCACTGGGACAGAGGGCACTGGACTTTCTCATGGAAAAGACGAAAATTACAGCCCCAGTAAAAATCACAAAGGAGGTTATTAAGGGGCAGGAGGGAAAGGAGGAGGAAGTCGACGTTTGGGAGTACCCGGAGCAAGATCTGCAGACGCTACATGAACTCTACGAAAGGCACGCGGTACTCTTCAATTTCTCGGGCAAAAATCGTGAGCTGTCGCTGAATGAAAAAAGAAAGTGGGTGATGGAGAGACTAAGGGGGCTGGAGAGCATTCCAGGCATTGAGCCAGAAGTTTCATATCACAAGCGCGGAAGATTCACGGTCATGATAGAAAGTGTGGACCCGGCTTACGCCCAATACCTGCGGTCATTGGGCTCCCTCAGGTGTCATGGTTCGGTGGTGACGATCCAAGCATGGAAACCGCCCCAACCGCCACCAGCGGAGGCTTCAAGGCACAGGCAGTCGATGATGAGGGATAACTACTGGGTGCAGTTTGACAACCTCTCGGAAGGAATGCACAGCTTCGTGCAGCAGCGCCTGAAGGAAGAGTACCCAAACAATCCCATCATAGAATGGCTCCCGGCAAATCCCGACTTCCTTGCTCCAAACCATGACTCCAGGGTGGCTTGCCTTGAAGTCAAATCAGGGGCACCACCGAAACTTCCCGAGGTGTGGATCTTCAAAAGAAGAACGGAGCGCATCACGGTATTTATTTCCTCTAAATCCAATCCGTTCTGCTTCAAATGCAGAGCAAGGGGACACTTGGGAATGCACTGCCCACAATCGGGTACTGGTTCGGGTGCGGGTTCGGGGGGGAGACAGCCACAACTGAAACAATCAATGTTGGTCGAAGCGGATAACAAGCCAGGAGTTTGGTACATAAACTCCGCACATTACAGAGGCTGGATCTTCGATGATAATCTGGAGACACCAAGATGGATATGGGTTCTCAGCAGTACTCCCACTTTGAAACCAGACATCTATCCACCTTACGACAGCCGCTGGAGACAAGCAGGGGCAAAGCGCATGGAGGACAAAGATGTAGGCTACATCCACAAGCCGATGATAGACGAGGACACAATACTGGACGATAAACAGCGGTTGCAGACCATGGCCGAATTGCACAAGCTGGGACAAGAGGCCGAAATGGCCTTTTTGGAGAACAAAAGAGCGAGGGAGGAGGCTGAGAGAAATCAGCGGAAGGGAGAAAAGGGAAAGGGGAAGAAGAAGAAGGTGTTGGAAGCAAATCCTCGAACCAAAGGGAGAGCATGCGGGGGGAGGAGACAGAGATGACTGGGGCCAGCAAGGCAAGGGAGGAAGGTGACTCTCAAGCGACGTCAAAAAGGAAGATGAGTGACAGAGAATCAGCCACGGGGTGTAATACGAGCCAGGATTCAAAGAGAACACACACGGGTAGCAGGGAGGAGGAAGCCGCAGCCTCGCAAGGCCAAGACCAGAGTTCGGGTATGGGAGAGGCGGGGCTAGGGGGGGCCAAAGTCCAGAGCGAGGGGATGAACATAACACCATCTGGGGCAGGAGATTCTTCATCTTCTTCATCGGACCGGCACACGAGACCAGGCACCCCATCAGGGGGTAGCAGCCCATCAATCAGTACGCGGAGGGATAGTGGGGGAAATATAATGGAAGACCCGCTGGATGATTCAAAAGGGGGAAAGGATAGTGAAGAAGAGGACAGAATGTCGCAGGACTCGGGAGGGGACTCGGAGGAAGATACTGAAGAGGAGGAATGGGAAGACGCGGAGGAGGAGGAGGAACCGGAAACGCTGGCTCAATGGATCAGAACAGTGCATAAGCTGAAGTGGGAAAGGCACATCGAATGTGAAGTACGGCTGGCACATCATAAGCACCTACGCAATCTGAAGCAGGCTACTTCAGCGGGTGATGATATTACCTCGACGAACAGATTTGAATGGTTGAGGAAAGAGCAGGAGGTCAATGAGTTCTACGCAGCTCAGTATGCTTGGAAGGCCAGCCCAAGCAATAATGACATTTCGGTGCACAACGGGAACTACGCCAAGCAGTTCATATGGCCCAAAACGTACCAACCACAAGGGCTGAAAAGGTTAGAGCAGAAAAGGAAAGCCCAGCAGGAGGCAGAGGACAAGGCGAGCAGCGGGACCCAGGGAGCAGAAAGCCCAGCACGGGGGGTGGAGGAGAAGGAGCACATTGAGGAAGAGAAGAGACAGGCAACGATCCTGGAGGCACAAATCAACGTCCTCAAGGATCAAAACAGGGAATTGGAGGCGGATACCATTAATCTGCTAAAGATAGCCTGCTCTCCGCAGGGAGACATAAATGCAGCAGCCAAGCTCTTCGCAAGACACAACCCGGGGAGGAGAATCATCATACCTTACCGCTGGAACAGCGGCAACTTGGACTGGGAGGTGGCCATCCACAAGACCTTGGCTCTAATCTCAGCAAAGGACAGTCACTGCGCGCAGGATAAGCTTAAGGAACAGATCTCAGAGGATCTCCCCGACAGGGCTCAGATGGTGGGGAGCCTCTCCCAAGATCGGGAGGAGTGGGAGGACTCGGCGGGTGGTAAGCAAACAGTGGACTACAGGCCTATACTACTCAGATTGCAAGAGAAGGCCAAGCTGGCAGAGGGAATGATATGGATGCCTTGGCAGGTGGTGGAGGCAATACCGTACGGGCTTTTGGGAGGAACGGAGGCAGCGGAATGGGTGGCTAGAGGGGCAGCGATTCTCTCCAAGGCGGATGTCTTCTCATGGAAGCCAGAGTATATAGACACCAAGATAGCACCCTTGGTGACTGAATTAGAATGGTCACAAGCGGGCTCGTGAGGAAGTGCTCGTTAGTGAACCAGATCCAGGGAACATAATAAATGGCAGGGGATCAGATAGAGGAAAGAATCAAGAGAAGAAGATTGTCGGCACTTGGGGGGGTTAGGGAATCGGAAATTAGAGTCGTGTCTTGGAACGTAATGGTATGGCACAGATTTTGGACAATAAGGATAAATGGAATAACTTAATAAGAACTACCGATTGGTTTGGAAGGAATCCTCCGGACTTCTTGTGTCTTCAGGAAACCCATCTCACTAATTCGCCGGTACACCAAAAGACACAGCAAAGTATAGAAAAGCAGCTCAGGTGGGTGAAAGCCAGTTTTTGGGCTGTGGCGAGTAGGACGCACTCAGCAGGAGTGGTGATTCTGCTTAATAAGAGGTCGGCTGCGGCAAACAAGTTGTCGCTACAGGACGCCATGCTGGATGTTGAGGAGGGCCGATGGGTGAAGATCAACTTCTCTTATCAGGAAGAACAATTCTGGTTAGTCACAGTCTATTGCCCCGATGTTGAAGAGGGCCGATGGGTGAAGATCAACTTCTCTTATCAGGAAGAACAATTCTGGTTAGTCACAGTCTATTGCCCCAACTCTTACCAGGGTAGCGCAAAAATGCTTAGGTCAGTACAATCCCACTTGGAGACAACGAGACATGTCATACTGGCAGGGGACTGGAATGCCACTCTCGACCCAGGTAAAGATAGGTTGATGGGGGGAAGATCAAGGATAGGGGATGAGCCTCCAGGCGAGGAGGCTTTACCAATCCACGCACTCATGTCTTCCTGGGGACTCATTGACCCCTTCCGCCTACACTACCCAAGCCAGAAGCAGTATACCTACTACAAAAGAAACCGCAGTCAGCATATGTCAACTTCCATAATAGATTACTTCCTAGTGTCGGAGGATTTTATAGGGTCTCTTTGTTCGATACAAATAGGGGAACTGCCACACTGCACGTGTCTAGACCACAAACCGGTAACTCTAGAGTTGGCCTTAAACAAGCATATCCAGAGGGGTAGAAGCTTCTACAAGGTAAACAATTCTTTGCTAAAAGCACCAGAACTCAGAGAGGCCATACTACAGGTCTGCCTGACCCATGACAGCGACGTCCAGTCGTTTCCAGACCTAATCAACGCGCTGTTAGGAGCATCGTCAGCGGTGGCCAGGCAGTTAGCTGCCAGAAGGAAGGCTAGGGAGCAAGAACTAAGGCAAGCCCTACGAATAGCGGAGAGGAACCTAATCAACAATCCGGGCACGAAAATGTACGAAAATACAATAGAGGCGGCAAGAAGGGAGTTAGGGGATTGGGAGCGCTGGAAGGCTAGGGGCATGCAGTTGAGAGCAAGAGTAAAAGAATGGGAAGAGGGAGAACGTATGACAAAGTACTTCTTCCAAAAGATTAAAACCAGAGGAAGGAATTCGCAAATAGAGCAGTTGGAGGGCCCACAGGGAGTAGTGTCCGATTCCGAAGGGTTGTTGTCCGTAGCTAGTGACTTCTACAACTCTCTTTATAAATCCAGAGAAGGGGACCAGGATCCAAGACAGGTAAAGGAAGTTCGGGATAAGATCCAAGACAGGTAAAGGAAGTTCGGGATAAGTTCTTAGCCCATCTGGACTGCACGGTGAAAGGGGAGCAGGCAGAAATGCTGGAGGCCCCGCTTTCACAGGAAGGGTTAAGAGAGGCCTTAGATACAATGCCTCCAAATAAGACGCCACGCAGGGATGGACTAACAAGAGAATTCTGGCAAGAATATTGGGAAATTCTGGGAGGGGAATACGAAGCTTTCTTAAACCAGGCATGCAACAACGAAGGCATGGGAATGGAATCCTCGACAGGGGTAGCTACCCTGCTGTACAAGAAAGGAAACCCCAGAGACATCAGAAACTATAGACCGATTACACTCCTGATACACACAAGATAGTGGCCAAAGCATTAGCGAATCGCTTGACGCAGATAACAGGCAACTGCTTTCACTTGGACCAAACAGGATTCATCCCAGGGAGATTCATTTTAGACAATGTGATGACCCTATCAAAATCGGTCAGGTACATAGCAAACAAAAGAATGAACGCGGCTATCCTCTTCTTTGACTTTGAGAAAGCATATGATCAGGTCAACTGGTCTTTTCTACAGCAATGTATGGAGAAAATGGGTGTAGGTAACTTTCGCAAGTGGATAAGAGTATTATACAACGACTCACACGGTCAAGTGCAGGTCAACGGACACCTCTCGGAAAGATATAAAATGACCAGATCAGTTAGGCAAGGTGACCCATTAGCTGCCCCCCCTTTTTTTTAATTTTATTTGGACCATTTCTCGATTTATGCGTGTCATCCTTGCGCAGGGGCCAAGCCATAGCTTCATTTCTTAGAAAGGATCCTTCACTTGACCGACTGATAGCTGAACCTGACCAGCAGGGGCGTATTATAGAACTACCCACCACGATACTATTCGCAGACGATCTCACAGTTCTCATCAGGGCAACTGACTCCTCATTTAAGGCACTCACAAAAGCAATGGAAGCATTTCAGTTGGCATCGGAAATGAGAATTAACTGGTCCAAAACGATAGGTTGGTGGCTCATACACGACCACCAGCACCAGCAGCCCCAACCCCCGGACCATGGAGGAATGGAGTGGCTGCCCCCACATCAGCCTCTGCAGTATTTGGGGATCAGGCTAGCCGATGAGGGCCCTCATCACTCCATGGCTTCGGATCAGATGACCAAAATGTTAGCTAAGTTGGACGCATGGTCCAGTATCTATACCTCTCTGTTCGGGAGAGCCTTGGTCCTAAATGCTTCGATCTTTTCCATGTTATGGTATGTGGGCACCCTGTGGTCACCCCCAGGGCCCGCACTTAGGAAGCTCCGAAGGGTAGCGGCAGCCTATCTGTGGACAGGGAACCCGGCGAAGAACAACTTTATTTCCAAGGTAGCTTGGAAACAAGTAATACAAACAAAGAATCGGGGGGGCCTGGGTATCCTGGACCCCGAACAGCAGATTAAAGCACTTCAATCGAAATGGATTATCAAACTGGTAACGCAACCTCACTTACGCTGGGTTCCCCTAGTATTGGAGCACATACGGGGATGTCTAGGTACGCAACTCCCTCAAATATGGAGGGTACTTTTTGGATATTCTGCAAAGGATGGGCAAAAAAGGGTAGAGCAAGGGAACGGAGGGGCGAGGAGGGAACTTCCTCCTCGTCATACTGGGCCCAAATTCTCAGGACATGGGAAGAGATATTCCCGGCTAGAGTAGGAAAACCTGGATCTAGGGAGGAAGTCCTCCGACAACCCTTGTTTTGTAACCCTTGGTTAAAGGACTCCCAAGGAAAGCCGAGGACACTAACAGCTAGTGACACCAAATGGGGGAACTGGTTGGAACACGGGGTCTGGCAGATCAAGCATTTATGGTCCCAAAGCGACAATAGATGGAAAACGGGTAGAGAACTGAGAGCTACGATGAAAGGATGCCATAGGCTCACAGAAAATCTAAACGACGTTCTAATCTACATCCCACAAGAATGGACGCAGTTGTTGAGAGGGCCTTACAAATGGGAGTGGGGAAATTAGGCGACCTGGAGCATAAGCACAGTCCCAGAGCAGGC